AGACAGACACAAAGGCAGAGAAAAGGCTAGATGAGTACTAAATGCTCTCACTTCAATAAATTCGTACTGTTTCTTTCTCATTTTATTGATTTCACTATGTAATTTACTGGTTAATTTGTTGATTTTCTCTTAATTAGGATTAGTTTCAGACTTTCCCTTCTAAAATAAGATTTAATTGCAGTTTAATTTTTCAATGAATTCTTACTTACCTCAAATAGTTCATTCATTTTTTACTCGTGCAAAAACTCATTTTAAGTCTACAGAAGTAAGAAATAATCAATAACTTTGACTATTTTTTCAAATATGACGACATTATAAGGCTTTTAATTTAGTTATATGTGACTGTAGAATTATTGAATATTTAGTTTCTGTCATTTTCATTTTTTTGTCATAGTGTTACAATTTTTGAGACTTATTCTTCCTCCAACATTTTCACTTGACCATAACTCCTTCAAACTTAAAAAGTTTTTCTTGCATAATTGCTAAAAAAAATTAAATAAAGTATAGTGATTTGAATGCACACATACGTAGCCAGTATTTTAGTTATCCAACAAAATCGCATTAGATTTTGTATTAAAAGGGGCTTGCTACTGTTCATTAATACATTTTAAAGGCTTTTGACGACGAACGACGGTTGCAGAAAGAAGAATGTACATCATTTCAAGATTTACAAATACACGTGAAGTCTTTATCCAGTGCTCTAGAGAGGGCACACCTCGAAGCTGAACGCCGGGAGGCCCGCTTTCGTCGACTCACTGAAGCCTCAGCTGCTGCAGCCAGCAAATTAGTTAACACTGAACCTCTCATATCAATTCAAGAGCACAAAGCCTTAAAGGAATTCCTGTGAGCAAGATATGATTCGCTTTAAAATGTATTTAATATTAATTTATTTCAAATGGCAGGCGTTTTGATAGTTTTCATTAGCCCTTTAGCTGACTTCGAACTTCACGGGGGGGGGGGGGGGGGAACATCATAGTGAGAAAAATTCGAGAGGGGGGAAAGAAGAGTGATTCACAGATGTAAAGAGACAGATGGACACAAATGCAGAGAAAGGTAAGATGAATACTGTTGAAGTGGTCAAATTTAACATACAGTGGGGTCATGGTAGTTTGAAGTCAGAAGTCAATTGATGGTTAATAGACTTTTTGCCAAATGAGTATACGTTGTCCAGGGTGTACCATGTGGAGGTAAGTCTATCGCGTAGCCCATGTATTGAATTTAAAATTGTGAAAGAAGTGCTTTAGTAAAACAAAGAAATTGTGATATTATTTCATGATCAAATGCTTTTCCTTAGTTATTCATGTTGAATCCTTGTAAGTGGTTACAATTACTACATATTCGCCAATGGTTTGGTAGACAGTACTCATACTCAAATCGCTGGTCACAAAGGCTATATACTATGTGTCTTTGCAACAATTTTCTCCGAAATCTATATTATTACAAAAGGTAGCATAAAAATCACTACTTCTGTATGAAACATCACTTAGTTTTTACCATCGTTTCAGATACTACACTACAAAGGTGTGACTAAACCTTTCAATCCCCTTTAACAAAATCGGAAAATAAGCTATGCTTGATTCCATTTAATGAGAATAAAGAATGTATAATGCGAAAGCGGTTATCAGATATGTTGTACAAGTTTGATTAATGAACGGCCGAGAGGTTTCTGCACGAAAGGCCCCACTTTCCAGGATGTTCCATTACCCATAGCTTAAATTTATCTTTTTATTTTTTTGTAATTAATCTAATTCTAATCTGCAGTTATTGTCACATTTTTATTTCTCTCGTAAGTCCTTTCAAATTTATGCCAAATATATCATGCAATCAATATCTTGAAAATCAAATCGTTTTGACAGCTTTCATTCCCCCATCAGTTTTCACAATTTATGTTCAAGACTCTTTAATCAGCTTTATAAAAAATAACAAATTTTTAAATTGCATCGTATACAATTTTATTACAGACAATTCATTCGGCATCAACTCGGGACCTCTGAAGAACAAACATTGGAATATTTTCTGCAACGAACTAAAGAGTACATTATTAAACGCGAGGAGGAGCTTGAACAACTAAGATTGGTAAGTTTGATTTTTGTTCTAAAGCGGTTTCTGCAGTTCATTGATTGCGTTATGCTCTGTCGAGTTCCGTTTTATTTTACAATATTTCAGCAAATTTCCTGCTTTGTGGTTTTGACTGATTTGTCAACTCACAACCACTATGTGGACCAGAAATATAACAATGTAGGGCAAAATAAATAATTAACCGTTTTTGTATTTAAAAAATTTATATAAAATCATATTCTCTGAACAACCAGTTTTGACCTCTGTAGTATCTCAATTACCTCGATAATACTCTTGAAGTGTTTAAAATTGACTTATTGATTTCTGACAGGGAAGCCTGCGGCTTGCGTCAATTTTGTGATGAAAGCTTGCTAAATATGGCTTTATTTGGGCTGCTAGAATTGACCTTGCCTAGCATTCTAATGATAATTTAATTGAGGTTATTTTAAATTCGCTTAAGTTCTTAGTTAACGACCCAGCCAGTGATTTTGTATGAAGATATTGGAAAGGAAAGTATATTACCTTTGCTTCAATGTTAGGTTTCATTCACTCTTTTAATACAGTTTTCAAGAAGATTCAATTATATTAACGCTGATTTAAAATATTAAAATAATTTTGTACTCATAAAAAATCTATTTTTTTAAGAAACCCTGTAATTTAGAAGTCTTAGTGAGCATGATAATACTGAATTATTAGAGACTTTCTCAAATATTTATTTATTTCAAATGGCAGGCTTTATGATATTTATCATTAGCCCTTAATCTTTGACTTCAGCTTCCCCCAGAGTGGGGGGGTACATTTATAGCAGTTAATTAATAGCAGTTCATTAGCAGTCTTCTTGCTTCCCAGTATCTTTGGCTTTCTGTCCTTGTCTTTAGAGCTGGACACCGAATCAGGTGGGTCTTCTCCATTTCCTCATGTAGGTTACATAGAGGGCATGTGGGTTGAGTGTATACTCCCAGTCTGTGAAGGTGTTTTGCCAAGCAATCGTGTCCGGTACGTAGTCTAAACTCAGCAACGGCTTCGATTCTTGGCCAGTCGGGTATGTCGGAGAGTGCCACTGTCCACTGTTTCTCCTTTGTTCGAGCTTTGAGTTCGTTGTACCTTGAGGTCTGGAATTCTCTCCTGATTAAGGCCTTCATTGTGTGGAAAGACATGGGCCGGTCCATGCATTGCAAAATCGTTGTCCCCTTCTTAGCAAGTGTGTCAGCAAGCTCATTGCCTTTAATGCCACAGTGACCAGGAATCCATTGCAGGACCACTGTTTTGTTTTTCTCTCTCAGCAGCTCATAGAGTTTTCTACATTCCTTTATCTCAGCTGTTTTGGGTGTCTCTCTGTTTCCAATAGAGTTTATTGCTGACTGTGAGTCCGAAAGTATCACCGCTTTGGTGAATTTCGTATCCAGGCAACATAATTGGCGTAGTGCTATCCTAATGGCCTCTATTTCTCCTTCAAAAGCGGATCTATTATGTCCCGCTGCTGCGTAGAAAGAGAAGAGTTCAGAATAGACACCTGCACCAACGTTTGCTTGGTTTTCTGTGTATGACCCATCAGTGAAGACTTGGAGCCATTGATCTGCAGGATAGTTGACATTGATTGTCTCAAGGGCCAGTGAGCGCATTTGCTCTGGAGGAGTGTTTGATTTCCTGAAGAAGTCGAGCAGTTGGGTGCGACCCACTACATCAATGTCTGCTAATGGGTTCATGGGGGGAGAGAGGCTTTTTGGTTGATCATCGATTTGTAACGCTTTCTTCAGTTCTATGGCTTTCTGTATTAGACCAGATTG